CTTTACTTGGAACAGGTTACATCCTGTGACATTACCTTTAACATCATGAAACAACATCTGCCTATCCCAGGTCCTTGGGAAGGACTCGATAGGTGGATAAAAATGCCAAATCCAGCCTAAACAATTGGCTATGTGACCAACAATAATAGCTACTCACAGAAATTGACATTCTGCACTTTTAAGCATTCTGATCATTTTGGATATTAAATATACTTATTAAGAAAATGTTAGCAGTCCTTTTTATAGTTTTAAGACATATTTAAAACAGCGTTGCCAAATTTTTAAAACATTTATGTTATGTACAACCCAATAGTTGAAGCAATATTGCAATATCCGATGTTATAAGATTATTTTTGTGCCATATTACCACCACACTTAACCACAAGAAACATGTCTAAAAGCCAGCCATACGTGAAGACATCAATATCAAACTACCACCATTGCCCAGGCATTTCAATGTATGCAATGTATCTTTATATTATGTACTTTAAACAATCTTGCTAAATATAGACACATATTAAATGTATGGGTGGATACATTGGAGAGAAGACTTAGTCAAAAAACAGAAAAATAAAGTACTGTGTATACGTGCCCACCCCCAGGACAATGAATGTGAGGGAAAGAAACAGAGAGCTTGATGAGACAAAGAGTATCACATTCCCTGCTTTGGGCTCTTCCCACAAATCTTTCTGATTTGTCCACTGCTGGCATCTGTTCTCCTGCTCCCTAAACAACTTTTGACTGAGGCTGAAAAATCTATAGTTTTTATCTTGCTTCATGCTGTAGGAATAGTGAAGAGTTTAGTTTTTCCCTGACTAAAATCTTCACTTAGTTTAGTTGAAATTTTCTATTTAATCCACGCACACACGTATGCATCCCATTTTCCCAACTGGCAAAATTCAAAAGTACTACCTTACAGATCATATGAAATAAATAAAAATAAAGGATATTTATGTTAACTTTGAGGAACAGGGAAAATCTAATTGAGAATTAGGGGGGATAAAGACAAATGTAAGGTTACATACAAGAAAAATGATTTCTACTTCTATAAATTACTGACTTATTTTTAAAAATATTCACATACACATCTTTTAATGCAGAGAATAATTGTGCCTTGAGGTTAGCGCTCAACAAATAAACTAATTATTACAGGTGGTTTTCCTTCATCTTTAAAAAAATAAGACAATAGTCTAACTGAGATGTCACTTACCCAAGTTTTGGATGATTTGAACGGGCAAGGATTTGACGAGCTTCATGAGGATAATGTTTACTAAAATATCTGAAAGAGACCCAAAAATGTTAAGAATATTCATAATCATTGCAGTGCAGTTAATTGCTCTGCAGTGTATTAAACTGAGTTACAATATTAACATTAGCATTGCCTTTAAGATAAATTAGCATATCTGATTTGAACAACAAATCTAATACTTAATAATGCCTCTTCCATTAACAGCAGTAAATACATAGCCATTGTAATATATACAACTTTAAATCATGGAAAAGTATATGGACTTACAGAAGATTAGTTAATCCCAGCATTCCCATTCCTCTGAAGTCTGTTTTAGGGTCATCACCTTGGAAACCAATGTCACACCACTGTTTTGTGATTCTAGCTTTCAGTTTTTCATGGGGCATTAACAAATTCCAGAGCTGCACAAATATGCTTCTATTAATTATATTTCTAAGATCATTCAGAATAATTTCAACTTGTATCAAATAAATTAATGCAATATCTACTTTAAAGAAGCAAATATATATAATTTAACTATTATACATATATATTCAGAAACAGTCATGGAAATATTATAGCAAGGACCGCTTATAAAGGCCTGCCACACCAACAAATCAAGAGTTCCTGGCATACCATTCTCTCATTCACCAGAAAATCCCAGCTGATTTATTTATTGACTTAAAGAATTTATATGGCCACCTGTCTCACAACAATGATGCTGAGCAGCATACTAGGATTAAAACAACAGCTACAAAGAAAGACCCATGACGCCCGAGATAAACAATAAATCCCAATCATAAAAACCACATCATCAGCAGAGCTCACCTCCTGGCCAAAATGCCTAATTTTAGCAAAGATAACATTTTATCATACATACATTTTTGTTCCTGCTACTAAAAACTTCCATCTAGGCATTTTCGCTCACAAATCAATTGTTTTATAAAAATTTCTCAAAACATGTAGGTTGGAACTCAACAGGAACAAACTTGCTGTCCAGCAGCACATTGTCAGTGAATGCCATACTTGATCAAACATGTAGTCTCTTCAGAATGGAAAATCAGATACTACTGAAAGCTCAAAGAGGCCATGATATCAAAGCCTTTCCCAATATATCTCTATAATTACAGATAACCCTGGACCTACGACCATTCATTCAGTGACCAAAGTTACAACAGTGCTGAACAAGTGGTGGTTACAATCTCTCCTCAGGGTTCCAGCTGTCTCAGCACCCCCACAGTCATGTGATCGCGATCTGGGCACTTGGCAACCAGCTCACACTTATGACCAGTTACAGTGCCCCGCAATCACGTGATCGCCATTTGCAATCTTCCCGGGAAGCCGGCAGGGAAGGTTGCAAGTTGCTGAGGTAAATCTCCCCCACCCGTGCATCCTCCTACAGCCCCTCTGGCCTGCTTGTGAGCCACCTGGGACTTGCAACTTCCTGCCAGCTTCTCCACTGACTTGGTTGTAGGAAGCCAGCAGGAAGTTGCCTCGCCAAATGACTGTAGGATTCAGACTATGACAGCAACCAAGACTGCAGGGATTGCCGTCGCTAAGCGATGCAGTCGTGCTTTACAACTGCATCGTTTAGCGATGGAAATTCCGGTCCCATTTGCTGTTGTAAGTCAAGGACTACTTGTAAAGACATGCTGCAGTTTGTAATTCTAAAGTAACCTGGGTAACAAACATCTGTTTATATTTCTTTCCATCCAACTATTTCTTATTTAAAATTTTCTTAAACTAGAATCACCATATACAGTATACGGCCACACACTCCACAATCTAATTATGTTAAGCACTTCTTTGTATCTGTTCTAGACATGTTGCTAAATCAATTTCATTAAATGATAATGTGTCTTAGTAATTCTAGAATATACTATACACATATACCTTCCTCTTTATTAGCTCTTTCTGTGCTGTCATTACTTACAAAGAGTGTTGAGATTTATAGTAAATCTTGTGCAAAATTAATTCATTTCTTCAATTTAATCTATTATTTTTATGTTACAAATTTAAATTAACTATACAATACAGAGGTACTAAAATTTTCACCTCCATTAACTGTTCTTCATGTTCTTTACTGTCTGAATTATATACTTGTTTTCTGAGATCTTCTACAGCCAAACAGAGTTTCCTGAAGCCTGATATTTGGAGCAAACATAATTGTAGCTTTGAAGCAAACCTACAATAAATTGAAAATACAGAGAACTCTAAGTAACATGTGATATGTAACACAATGTTTACCTGCAATAAATATAGCACTAACAAAACCAAATATTCTATCACAGAAGTGAAATATATAACTTTGATTTTACAGATACCTAATTTGCCAATCTAAGAGCTATGCCAGGCATTATTTACAGTATCCTAATTCTGACCTACCATATTACTGAGTCAAGGTTCCATATGGTGTGGTATTTAAGAATGTAAGAACTTCCCATGATTGTTCTCGCTTCATGTACGTATGTCTAGTTTGATTTGGATCACACCTCCTACATAATGTGCACCTATCTACTGAAAGGAGGTGGGCGGGGGGGGGAGACAACAACACACTAGCACTTCTAGCAACACCCACAAGCATGTTCCATCTGTAATGTAGTTTCACCCTGCATCTCCTGCTAATTTGGGAACAAGTAGAAGCAAAGTCATCAAGCAACCACCGGATAGAAAAATATATTATGCTACTGAAACTCTTTATATACCACTTCCATTAACTAATCTTCTATGCTCTGCTTTTCAAATGTTTTGGATGATCAAAATTTGGAATAATTTGAGGTCACATTTAACAGTCACAAGCAAGTGGCTTTACAGGAACCACGATACACCAAGGTATCCTAACTAGTTTTGACAAATTTTGTAATATATGTAAGATCACATGTTCACTTCTTCAGTTATATTACAATGTTACATAATAATTACCATTAATTTAACAAGGATATTATTTTCCACTGAAAAGAATATCTAATCTATTAGTTTCAGTAAAATCAAATTCAATTCAGATAATAATCTATTTATGCCAATATTAATAAATTTAGAACAGCTTAATCATTTGTCTTATCAATTACAGTATTATGCATCACACATAAAAGTATATTTAAATGTGAACTTACTCCTTCAGCATTTTATATAAAGATTGCTTTACCAAATATCTATCAAGACAGACAAGATTTTTCTTGAGGTTGTAGCAGAGGCAGTAACAGACATACCCTATATCTTTCTGTATTTTAATCTTCTTTTCTTCTATTATGAACGCAACATATTTTTCCACTTCATCTTCAGTAGCATTCACAGCATTTTGCAAGGACTAAAAAAAAATAGAAAATCAAACTGCCTTCCAAATCAATATATATTGATAAGTATTATTTAAAGCCTCAGAAAATATCAGAAGATCATTATTAATCAGTTATGATTTCTTCAGATGATGAACATGAATTTTAAGTAGTTGTTCAATTATATGTGCATAAATTAACCTATGTATAAAACAAGCACTCTAAATAAAAGCTGATTTTTAAATAACAGCCATCTTCTTCGAATATTCCTTTCTCCTTGAAATAAAAAAGAGAAAACAATTCTTCCAAGGTGATGCTTATTCTATCTACTTTTTGTAAATACCTTCTAGATCTGTTCAAGCAATATTGGTTTGATACCAAGTGTTCACCTTGTATAAAAATCTACCCAAGCAGCAGAATCTAAAACAGAAGTAGCACTCCATCTAAGTTCAATAGGGCTTATTCTCTAGACTTAGGATTATCTTATTTCAGAAATTGCTTGATAACTATGAAGAAAAATACTGGCTAATTTAACAGGTATACTGTACTATGTTTAGCAAATCTTTGCATTCTGCAGATCATTTATTTATGCTTCCTTCAGGAGCTGAAGGCAGTGTACATAGTTCTTTATTTTCTCTTTTTTTCTACAACAACCCTGTGACATAGGTTAAGCTGAGAAAAAGTGACTGGCCCAAAATCACTTAGTAAGCCTCTCTGGATGAGGGTATTATAACAGTAATAGTCTATTTAGCTTTATGACAATTGGAATGGAAAATATCAAAAGTTGCTAAAAAGTTGCCACCTCAAATGGGGCTGAGTTTGAAAATTTTGTTTTATGCGCTCACATATTTTAGTACAGGTAGTCCTTGGGTTACAGTTGTAAAGTGCGACATCACATGACCACATTGTGTAGCAACAGCAATCCCAGGCAGTCCCAGTTGCAGCCATAACCCCAAGATGTGTGGGTCGTTAAACTGGAAGAGACAGGAGTCCCAGATAAGGAGCATGAGGGTGCTGTAGGAAGGCCCTGGAAGGGCCAGTACAGTCCACTCACGAGTTGTAGGAGGCCGGGGAGGGCCTGGGAGGGCCGGTGGAGGCTGCGCATGGGCAGGGGGGTGCTGCGAGCAGAAGAAAAAGCAGGAGCAACTTACTGGAGCGACTTGCGACCTTCCCTGCTGGCTTCTCTATTGACTTTGCTCCCTGTGACATTGTAATCGCGAATCAGGTACCCAAACACCCAGACCATGATCACATGGTCATGGAGGTGCTGTGAAGGTCAAAACTTCGAGGACTGGCCATAACTTTGAACAGTCACTGAACTAATGGATGTAAGCCAAGGATTACCTATAAATGATGTTGGACTTCCCAAGAGCTTATCAATTTAAAATATGAAACAACACAAAACAAGTTGCAGTCCATAACCCAACAACAGACAAGAAAGTTATTCCTGAAAATTATTGTTGAAAATCTTGAAATAACCAAATAGAAGAAGAAACTGAATTTGGCAAGCATGCTTTCTAGTTTCAGCTGCAAGACTCCTTGAAGGTTTTATAGCTTACACATTCATAATCACTACAACTGAATCTGACAGTGCTTTTTCTTTAACTAATAACCAAGATTAGTCAATTGTTTTAAATATATTGAGTGCATTACTGCTTACAACTATAGAAGGTAAAGTGACCTGAGATTAGAATGGCACACTTTATAATGTTGTAGAAGACCTTTTGGTCCAGAAAGGTAGTCTGTGATCCTGTCAAGTATGTCCCTTCTGCAACAACATGGCAAAACCTCTGACTCCATTTCTCTAACGAATAAACAATAAAATGCAATGTTCTGAAGGAAGAAGATGTATTGCTAAAGCAATACTTCTTTTAGACATTATGAATGCTGGAAACTGGTTTTGAAATGAAAGTTGAAAACCAATCTCGATGGTTCTCATAAGAAAAAAGGACAAAAAGCGTTTTGTACACACAACATATATCCTACCTTATACTTTGATGATTCCAGTGAATATTCTGCAATGATAAGTGTGAATTATTTATTAAAACTATTCACTAAATCTCAAATTTCATTTATGTTTACAAAGAATAAATTAGTAAACATTATTCTGATACCAGCCTTGTAAATGTGTTTACAACTCAGCCAAAAACATGTTAATGAATACTCAAGAGAACTACAGTAGTCCACAACTTACAATGACAATTGGGACTAGAATATCTGTCACTAAGCAATGTGGTCATAAAGCACAACCACATCGCTTAGCAATGGCAATCCCTGCAGTCCTGGTTGCCATCATTAACTGAATCGCAGCAGTCATTAGGCGAGGACCTCCTTGCAACTTCCTGCCGGCTTCCC